AGAAAAGCCCCTGATCACGTGAAACATAATTGGCCTTCCACCCCCATGTGGAGACTCACTGGTCACACTGGTCAGGCCTTTTGCAGTAATTCCAAATTTCACTGTTGAAGGGATGTGTCTAGTTCAGCGTTCTCAAATGGCTTAGGGTGCCACCACCACAATTTTGCCATAGCAATATTATTCACCTACTATTATGTACTTAATACCTTTCTTCAAACAATCTGCTTTTATTAAATTACTAAAATTTAAATTCTATATTATTAACATAAATGGAAAACCAGTAGAGGCTGCCATAAACAAGAGGCAAATGTAAAAATAAATACAACGGAAACAAGTCATAGGAAATTTTATCTAGATTGGGTTGCCTGCACCTCCCCCACCCCCCAAAAAAAGATACTGCCCATGTTAGGGTTGTGTTAAAGACCAGAACCAAAATGAGACCCTCTCCTTGATGTGTTCAGAGGGGGTACAAAGGGATCAATGTTCTCAAATACGGCTCATGTTACTTAATAACCTTGCAGGCACCACCTAAATCCTCTCACCCACCAGGACATGTGCCCCCACCTTGGGAAACAGTGACCTAGCTTAACTCCTATCAGCACGAACGGTGGAAACTGTGCGATCTGAAACCACACTGCCTGGGTTTGACTCCGGCTTCAGCACTTTCTAACCGTGTAACCCTAGGCAAGTTATACAACCTTTCTTGGACTCAAACTGAGAATAATGAAAATACCTGTCTCGGAGTTGTTTGAGGGTTAATGTAAAAAATGTTCTGAGACATTCCTGAGGCAAAAAGCCACTCAAAAATATTTATTCATCAAATGATGAATAGAAAGTAAGAGACTTAACTCTGTCAAGGAACAATAGAAAAGACTTTTTGGTAAAGATGAAATTGAGCAGGTACTAGAAAGACAGTCGGACCGCATTTCAGTGGATGATGGATGAAAGGACAGATGGATGGAGCAGACTAACATGGGATGAAGGAAACAATTAAGTGAGGACAAATACCACAGAGTTCCTCTTTTCTTCTCCCTAGCCAATAAATTCAAGATCTCAAATTTCTGCTAGTGTCAAACATCTCTCCACCCCATGTTACTGGCATCCTCAAGGCCGTCTCATAAGTACTCCTGAGCAGGTCTACTCAATTTCCCAATCTATATTCTTACATCTGTGGTTTGGTTTCTTCTCAGCTGTTATAGTCTCCCTTGGTTGACACCAGTGCAAATGTAGGTTCTCACGTCTCAGGGGCAGTGCCCCGTTTGGTCAAGATTAAGCACATCTGTGAACTTCTCCTTGACCACTTCCCCTAGACATGCTGCCCTGCCTGCGGCTCCCCCAGCTCTTCAGGCCCAGCCTCCTGTCCCTTCTAGTGATGCTCTGGAAGGCCCAGGACCAAACCAAGGCTCCGTGCTGTTGTCAGCTGGGAAACACTCCTCTTATATTTTGATGTTACACAGAAGAACTTAAAAGTCATCCTCAAATCAACATCAAGTTGTTGCGGATGAATAATAAATTGCTATATTTGGAATATTTATTTTCAGAACAAAAATTAATGTTTTTTAACAACTCTAGTTCTCTTAAACATAATTTTAACATTTATGAAGAAAATAACAGTGCTACAACTTTAGATTCTATGATTCCAAAATCAAATGGTGCCTTCCAAATTTGTACTGAGATCTGTGATTATCTCTAAAACTCGATTTTCTTAATGTGACTTCTTCACGTTAGAACCTATGAATCCTCATCCTTTACAGATTCCTTTATTCTCTTAAATTTAGTTTGCTTCATATATTGCCTAGAACCCAACCACGTTTTATCAGATTTTAATCCCACATATACAAAAATCCAATCAATAGAATCTATGCTATTGTAATATCCAAAGCCAGAATTAAATGAGGGATCCAACTTATATTTAAAATTCTTGGCAAATAAACTTAGTCTATATGGAAAATATCTATTTACATAAAATCATGCTACATGTAATGCAAGACTAAAAAACAAACACCCTTTTATCCTAAAGTGAATATTAAAAAAACTACAAATATTGCCATAAAAAAGGAAAGATCTTTTTCCCATAAATTCAAGAAACAATCTTGACATGTTTTGGAATGCAAGTGAAAAGAACACAGTCCAAAAATGCGAGCTATGGTCTTTGTTTTGTCATGCTGGCTGTGTGACCTTCATCTGCATGAGCTTCAGTTTTCTTTTCTAGAAAATGAAAAGGTTGCGTGAAATGGACCCAGAAGTTCTGTTATTATACTCGCCTTGTGCTCTTGTTTCCTCTCTTCCCTCTCACCAGTTCCCCAGGACACCAACTTTGTAGGCAGGTTTTATTTTTTCAATAAGTATTTATTATCGAGTGGCCACTATGGGCCAGGATATTTGCTAGGCACTAGGAATGCAGAGCTTTAGAAAAAATATGGTTCTTGTTCACATAAACCTTGCAATTTAGTGGGCAAGACGGACATTCAACAAACAATCAGAAGCATTATCCATCCTCATGATCTTGAGAAGGGAAAACCTCCCTGTGCTCTGCAGGTTACAACAGGTGACTAATTTAGATTGGGGGCATCAAGGAGGCCACAATGAAGACGTGGCATTAAAGTGAGGGGTGGAAGGAAGCACGTCGCAGCCTTCAGGGTATAGTGAGGAATGCGGACCAGCCTGAGCGACAGAGGTGGACCGGTTCAAGGAACTGAAAGACCAACAACGTGGCTGAGGCGTGGCTGAGGTGTGGCCTGTGAAGGGGTGCAGGTACGAGGCTGGGCCTCCTCTGGACTGTCAGGGATGTTAGATTTCATTGTAAGTGCAGGGAGCTCATTGGGCCGGGACCCGCACCCTGAAGTCAGAATCCCACCTCACCACTTACTAGCTGTGTGACCCTAGGCAGTTTCCTCATTGACAGTTATTGGAGGATTAGCTAAATTGATGTCAATAAAGTACTTAAAACAGTGCCCAGGGCGTGGCACACACTGCAGTGTCTGTTGTTCTTATTAGCATCTTATTCGTGAATACCCTCCTATCTCCAGGGCGCTGAGATGGGGCTCTGGGCTCATCTCCTCCCTCCACAACTGGTTCCACAGTAAAGCGAGGGAACATGAAAGGAATGGTGATCACCCTGAACTGTGGTGAGGAAACAGAAGGGAACTCAGTAAACAGAGAGGTGCTCTTGAATCTCTCTCTGACTTCAGAGATTAAATGGACATTGTAATATGGGAAAAATATTTAAGAATTCTTGCTTTGGAGCTGTCATCATTTTAGTTCAAGAAGAGGAAAACGGCCTTCCACCTAAGTTTTCTTCAAAATCTATTGACTGTACCATTATTTCTAGTTCTCCTTCACCAATGGGGGAATCTTTTAGAACCTCGATAATCACCTAACTTTACAATTTCACTTTGCAATTTAGAAACCTCAGCAAATAAACTTCTCATCCACGTTGATGGTGGATAACTAAGGTCTGTAAACACACAACGAAGCACTGAATAAAAATCAACTGTTTCAATGGAAAAGGGCCTATGATTTACTCTTCTCCACTGTCCTTTGCTCAATTCCTAATAACTTTGCAATGATCCCTTGGATTTTCATAGGCCGTTCCTTTCCATCAAATGCAAACTCAAACTTAATATTCTTAAATTTGCCTACATTTTTATATAATATTTCATTACCTTTTATTTATCAATTCCAGTAGAAGGCACTGAAGACACAAAAAGTAATAAGACATGGGTTATCCCCTTCAAATGAGGGTAGGAAGAGATGGGGGAGCAGACATAAGCGAGGAGCAGCAAGGAGGAAGAGAAAGGGGAGGATGGGGTACAGGTCAGGACAGAGCCTCAGGGGCGAGGGGCAGCGAGGGGTGAACACCAGACCCTACTCCATGAGGTAAGTTCATCCATGTTCTCTCAGGGACATAGCACCAGATGGTGTGACACCAGACTAATGTAGCAGCACTTCACTAAAATTAAAACGACAAGCTCATGAATTTAAGTCATTCATTCATTTATCTACAATCCATTTTTGAGCTTCTCCTGGATGCAGAATCGGATTTGACTTGATAGCAGGCTGTTTTATCGAGGATACAACCCGGCTTCTCTAACAGTGTTCTGTGTGTTATTTCCCCCTCTAAACATTCACATCAACGGGCTTCTGAAATGAAGATTCCTTCATGATCTCTTCTGTTTTCCTTTCTGTATTTTTCCTATGAGGTAAATAAGCTTCCACCTGACTCTCTGGGTAGATCCTACAAAACCTCAGCCACAGTAATAGCTGTCCCTCAGCATCCACAAGCCAACACGCTGACAGACCAGTGACACATTGTCCAAAAGAAAACAAAGTGAGAAAAGTATGAAAGTGGAGAACAAAGATGACCAAAAATATGAGCTAAAAATCAGGTTGCTAAATTACTTTCAAATGATTTAATATTTAACATTGGAACATCAGTCCCCTTTTTAAAATGTATGTAATCTTATATCGATATACGAAAACCAGGAAAACACAAGGTGGTATAATTTCTTCATCAAATCACAGAGAAGCTAAGCCGATCAAGTCTTGAGGAAGGTCAGGAGTAAACAGTTGGTTTATAACTCCACACACAGTGTGTGCTGGTTCTCTTTCACAGCACCGATGTCACACACACCTGAAAGCAGGTAAGGTCCCTGTGACTCGCTCTCCAGCTCCAGTCCTCCCCACTCCCTGGTGCCCAAGAGTCCCTTGCAGGACCCTGGGTCCTGTCCAGATGCCCGTGAACACATGTGAAGTCTGGAAGTGTGCCCATGTGCCAGCTGGTTAAACGGAGGGTATGTGCTTTCTGCATGGGTCTCAGAGTCTCCACGAATAAGGGTCTGATCCCTAACCCAGACTCTCCCAGTAGCTGCCGCTGTCACGTGCCGAGTCCCTAAACCTTTGCAGAACAAAGTGACTGACGAACTGTCTCTGGGTTTTAGCGACAGTTTAATTATGCATCCTTTTTTTTTTTTTTTTTACCATGCAGGCTCTTAACTTACCCCGATAGCTGCTAAGATTGGGGCCTGATAAATCCACTTGACGTCTCCAGCACTAAGTTCCCAGCATCTGAGTCGTGAAAAAGAACTTTCATGAATAAACTGCAGAGCAAATAGGCAGTGAGAATTAAGTAGCATTTTAAGTTTTGCCAAAAATTCCAGCCCCAAGGTTTTGATTAAGAAACAGACCAAAAAATCTTCTCGTAAAACACCCAAACCAGTGAAAAAAGTGTGTAATGGGTCCTGGTATCCATACTGTTAGCTCTAGAGTATCAATAAATATTGGTGAGTTATTTTTATAGTAACAAGAGTTAAAACCACATTTCCAGAGCCACAAAAAAATTGTAGTCTTCTAAACGTGGTGCAATCGATACTTCATTTTTATCATCACTGGAACGAGAGAAAGGCTCTCAGTTTCAGCAGTCAGGGCAGTTCTATTATAACTCCATAAGTTGTAGGACTCTACTGACAAGAATGCAAATGACTCTCATGGATCGGAAAATAATGGAAAACTGAATGAAAATGACCTTTGTCCACAGAAATGAAAACTAGCTGTGTTCCGTGGAACGTAATTGATGAGCACCCTGCGAATATTGACCAGTTTTCACATTTATTTGCAAATTTATTTCAAATATAAACTTTACTAAATATAAACACGTGATTCTTTTTTTCTCCTGTGAACTGGTTATAACATCTTACTGGTTCCCTCATTAATTAGTGAGTTAAAAAGTCTGTGACAGGGGCTCCTTGTATATTTGCATAAGATCCATTATTTTCTTTAATTTTAAAAAGTTAGTTTTTAGCAGTACTTAATAAAAACACTGTGTAATTACCTATTTGTTACACTTACTTCCTGCCCCTCCCACCCAACTAGGATTTCAGTCCCACATGGGCAGGGACAATTTGTTCTTGTTTTCTGATGTATTCTAAGTGCTCAGAACAGGACACAGCACATAGACATCAATAAACGTTTGCGGGAGTGAACTGAATTCGAGTAAGTCTGACTCAGCCTCACCCAATCTGGTTCGTGGTGAAGGTCTTACACCAGAATAAGCAGCGCGGGTTGAGAAAAACTAGTTCCACTTGAAACTTTCATGTAGCACTTTAAACAGTTTCTTTAAATTAAAGATATAGAAATAAAAGCCTTCAGTTTCTTTCTCCATAGACAAAACCTAGCATTGATTGTGGCAACAGTAAATGAAATCTTATAAAGAAATTTTAGGGATATAATGATAATTTTTTAATTCTAGATGGTAAACTTATCAAAAAGTTACTTTTAAATTAATGAACGAGTCATGGATAATAAAAACCTATTTCAAATATTCCCTGAAGGTAAAACATTTTCAGCACACATGTGATAACTACATTTTTTTAAATTTAATTTTTATATAGGCAATACATTCTCCTTTCCAAAATCAAACTATATAAAAAGACAGATGCTGAGACATCTCTGTCCTCCCATGTTCCTGTCTACCTCTGCCTCTGCCCCTCTCCGTACAGGTAACGTCTTTTATTCCTTTATTGTATATGCTTCCAGTGTTCTCTTACATATATGATAAACAAATGAACAGCAAAGGATATACTGGAATATTATGAGGAAGCCATTTGGTGTAAAACTAATTCAGCCTGACGTTGTTTTTCCAAAAGAGCCTGACATGGCCTGCTGAGCATGCACTGTACATCTGCTTTAAACATTTACCATGTCCCAAAGACAAGATGATGCCCTTAAAGATAGGGATGTATCTTCCCCCTATATTGCCATTTCCTTAAGGATAAGCCTCTCTTCCTGGAAACTAAGGATTAATTACTGACCTGCTATGCTCACCTTGTGACCACTGACCTGCTGTGCCAGCTAAGCATTTCGTGACAGCAGTAAAGGAGATATTCCTGTCATATGTGATGTATGCTTCTTTGGGGAAGGAAGGGCCCAGACTATAGTCCTCAAACCTGGCTCATAATAAAGTCACCCCAATTTTGATTTATAGATTGACTATGGATTATTTTCATTGACATATATACAAATACTATAATCTTATTTTCCCCTATCTTACAAAAAAATGCAATGTATACCCTATTCTGCAACTTGATCTTTCTTGGCAGTATATTTTTTATTTCTTTCCATATCAGTACCAAGAGAGCTCAGTAGCACAGCATCCCATTGAGAGGATATTCTCAGTTAGATCAAGCAGATCCCTAGAATACAGGGTAATCCTGGTCCAGCCACCCTGAAATCTGAAGTCTGAATAACAATGGAAATCAAAGACAGGGGACTTTTACACTTACACATCACCGAGCATATCCTAGCATGATTTGCATGCATCTATTTTTCACATTATTCAACCAGACAAGAAAGATGAAAGACAGTGTTACTGAGCTGTGCAGAGCGTCTATCACACTACCCTAAAAAGGCTTTCCACTGTAAGGAAAGGGACAGACACTGTACGAGTATAAACTGAACATTGATTCACTAGCTACAAAACTCTTAGATTCCATAAATTTCTTTTCAGTTTTGATATTTGGTGATATCTTCACAATCTTCTCTCTCTGCCTCAATGACATTTCATCATGGCGTCTCCTAACACACTGGAGACAATTCCAGCTCTACAAACTACTTGTATTTGGAAGTAGGTCACAACCAGCTACCTCTAAAAAAAGGAAAAACTTGACTTTTATCATTTTCAATGTCCAAGTTTCAAGTTTGCCTTTTGATATCAGAGGCACCCAAGACCTCAGATTTTTTTTTAAGAAAATGCTTTAATCCTTGTTTTTCATAAATACCCAATGTCTCAGCTCATACTGTGTTTGTTACCATGGCCCAGAAACTACCCTCTGTTCCGATTTTTTAAAATAAATTTTAACACTCTAGGAAGTGCAGGAATGAACGGTGGAGCGGAAGGCACAGAGGTCTGACTAGGACGGAGGACTTCCTGCAGCCAGGACCCAGAAGCAGGAGACGCACTGCCCGACCAGAGAGATCCAGGGACTCATACTGACTGAACACTCCATCGTCTCCACAGCCCACAGTCTGACACAAGCAGAGCAAGGGCAGATCTCCCAGGAGCGACCCGGCATCCTTTCTAGGTCCTTTCCACTGCAGGCCCCACCTCTCCTGCTGGCATCTCTTATCTACTTTGAATGAGGAGGAGAAGGTAATAAGATATCTTATAAGATGTTTTGGCTTTTGCAAGTAAAATGAAAAAGAAACAAAAATACTTTTTAAAGTTCATTTGTCCAATCTAAACACTCAATTATCTCATCCTACCTTAGCCAAATCACTCTTTTGATAGAATTTTAGAACTGGAAGAGACTTCCTTTGAATATTCAATAGAGTTTAGAGCATCTTCTCAAAGTAGGTATGATCTGCTTAACTCTAACTGGCCAAGATGCACAGAAAATCGGAGTTCTAGTCTTGAAAGGCAAGATCAGAAAAAGATGAATCTCCAGTGTCAGACAGGAGCAGGGACCCCCTCGGTCCTTTGGAGATGCTCCGAGTCTGCTCTCTCCACTGAACTTGTGACCTGGCACACACAGAGGTCAGATCATGCTCAAGAAAACCCACAAACATTTTCTAACTATAGACGAGCTGAATTTCATGCCTTCAAATCAGGCAATTTTGAAATCATGCCATGTATGTGGTAATACAGTTTTATTTTATATGGAAAATAAATGTAAATTGACCCCTTAACCCAATTATCACTCTCAGATCAGGGCACTCAGTACAGAATTCAAGATTTTATTCTGAGAAAGGTAGGAATAAATATTTTGCACAGAGGAGTCACATAATCTAACATATATTTAATTTTTTTACCTTAATTCAACTGTTTTAGAGCAATATTAAGTATCCGTTGTATTTTTCAAAATATTATGTATCTAATAGATTCTTTGCCTCAAAAATAATAAAGTTGTATTTCTTTTTTTTAGCAAAAAGACTTATGATTATTAACAGTTTATGATTTAGTTTATGATTTTTAAGAAAGAACGCAAGATAACTAAGAAAACCAATTATCTAATTCAATATAAAATACATCATGAATGTATTTGCTTTCCCTCTGTGCTCAAAGCCCGTGCTCCCTCTGTTGAATAGATGAGTGAGTCAGAATTGTTCCAGGCCGGCTCTGAAGAGTAACCTGATGTCTCCAGGTCTCATTTTATTCATGTCTCAAATGAGAGGATCAGACCCAAAAATGCCTTCGGTCCTACCTTCTCTAAAATTCTGAATCTCAGTTGGAGGGTTACACATCTTAGGGCAAATTATTCAGCATTATTTAGTACCTCTTTACTGACTTAACCCCCCTCCCTCCTCCAAGAAATCGAATAGCAGATGCCACGGGTTTTCTCTGAGATTTCCAATATTGCTGTGTAAATATAGCAATAACGGTAACAATGTAGGTATCATGAACCCTCAACTGCTAAAAATCCAAAGAGCATGAAGAGATAAAAGCAAGTGAAACGCAAAGCCAGTAAGTTCTAGAACCGAGGGCAGCTGAGTGGGAGCTTTGGAGCAAGTCGCAGGAAGGCTGCACCTGAAGGTAACCACCAGGGAGCTCAGATTTTCGGGAACTGTGGCTGGTTCTCTACAGAGTTCAGGTGCCCACGTAAGGTGGCACTGCATACAGACAAAACAATTTCTGAAGGAAATACCTAATAACTCAAAGCAAACATGTAGGCTCAAGTTAAAGAAAGGCTCCCAGGAGCTAACAAAAAGGAGTTGCCGCCGTGAAATGTACACAATCTGTGGACAGTGAATTGTATTCTGTTAACACCAAAGGATGCTCAGCATGACCACACGTGTAAGTTAAAGCTGTCTCTTTAAATAGCCTTTTCACGTGTCACAAGCGTCTAGTCAGCCCAGGCTGCCAGGACAACACGCTACAGACCAGGCAGCTTAGACAGCAGATATGCACTTTCTCACAGTCTGGAGGCTGAAGTCCAGACCGAGGTGCAGCAGGCTCCGTTTCCGGGGAGGCCTCTCTTCCTGTCTCCCTGATGTGTGCACACGACCCTCGCTTTGTGTGCACACGGGGAGGGAGGGAGCTCTCCGGGGTCTCTTCTCAGAGAACACTAATCCTGTCATGCCAGAGCCCCACCCTTATGACTTCATTTAACCTTAATTACCTCCTGTGGGCCCTGTTCCCAAATACTGTCACACTGGGCTTAGGGCTTCCGCATATGAATTTTGGGGACACAGTTCAGCCCACCGCTGGAAGTCTGACTACCAGAGCAAAGGGCAGGCACCCAAATGCTTTCCCACTTTCTCCCTTTCTTTCTTTGACTCTTCATTACTAAAACTAGAAATAATACAAAGAAATGAATGTTTCAGTATCCATTCATCATGTAGCCTCTAAAGAGAAACCTAGACAACTGGGGGCTAGTGATTCACTAGGATGGATTCCATTTCTAAAGTGCATTTGTTTTGTTGTTGAAAAGACAAGAAAACAAATGGGATGGATGAAATCTAGAGTTTGCATTTCAATATAGATAAGCAGTTAGTAAGTAGAGCATGCGTGTTAAACATAGGTACTAATATAAGTGAGGCATCTGGGCATGACATATCCCTGATACACTAAATACATGAAAGGCACGACATATCCCAAGGCTCACTGGTCTTGACATCTTAATTCAGCCACTGATGGGGGAAACCCATGCCCACATATCCTTTGCCCAAGAAACACAAATGAAACCCAGAGCTGCTCCCCAGGTAACTGGCAGCTACAGCTGCGGCCAGGCGTACCTGCACCTGCACCTCTGAGACAGCAGGTGTGTGTCACTGGCCCTGGCCATCTTCCATCTGGGTCCCCTTGCTGCCACCTCATCTCTGGTCCTCACAACCACACCATCAGTGGGGAAGGCTGATGCAGCAGAGAGAGGATACGTGCATATTGCCTATCCCAGGACTCGGGTGGTACAGTCCTTCCACCTGCTTGCACCAGATCCTAAGTGTGTTAGCATACCCATCTCCTCCCTCTTGCTTGTCACAATGTGTTTTAAACTGATTTCAGAAGTGTGGAGTTGGAGCATCCTAACCTGGTTTGTAAGCCTGTCTGTTCGGTGGCCTCTGGGATGGACAGCTTGCTGGCAAGGTACGGGAGTCCCCAAAGGGCAACGCCATCAAGAAGAGCAGCAAGTGAGTCCAAACAGGGAGTCAGAGTCCTGAGAAACTCGGAGGCTCTCCCTAACCCTTCTTTCTACTCACCTCGCATCAGCCAGAGTTGCCCGTGCCACAGCCCAGGCTGCAACAAACACCGCTGGGAACCCTGCAATCAGAAAAGGATTCAGAGACCATATTTCTCCTAAGATTAAGAGATTTTTTTTTTCTTATATTCCCCACACATAAAAATATACTATTAAAAGTTGAGAAAGGGAGGCCGGCCTGGTGGCATAGTGGTTGGGTTCGCACACACTGCTTTGGTGCCTGGGTTGCCGAGTTCGGATCCCAGGCGCACACCTATGCCCCACAGGTGATGCTGTGGCAGCGTCCCACACACAAAGTGGAGGAAGACAGGCACAGATGTTGGCTCAGGGCTAATCTTCCTCAGCAAATATAGGAAGATTGGCAGCGGATGTTAGCTCAGGGCCAATCTTCCTCACAAAAAAAAGTTGAGATAGAAAAACACACATGAAAAATATTGATATGTGAGCAAGAAAAGTCCACTTAATTTTCCTCTTCTCCATTTGAGAAATGAGCCAGGCACACTGAGGTTATGTGTTCCTGAAAGTCTGAGGATGGAGGTTGGCCCAATTTCCACTTCAGGGATACAGGCCAAGCCACATCTGGAGGGTGCCGGGACTGAAGTTCCCGGCACCAGAAGCAAGCAGTGGCCAGCGCACTGGACGCTGACTTGTCACACTGACAGCACATGCTTTCCAGGGGAGTGAAGCAACAGGGGGACTCACGAGGAGCTGCAGGGAGGCTGCTGTTTTAAAACATTAGAACTTTTTCCTTCTAAAAGTGGAAGGCACAGAGAGGCTATACTGCAAGTTACAAAATCAGGAAGTTTTGGTCAGTTTAGCCTCTTCTGCTTTTTGTTCATATTGGCTGAAGACAAAGCATCTGCATGCATGAACAGCTTGGCGAAGGGTGGTCACTATGTTAGTGTGATGATGTGAGCAAGAGATATTCATCCTTCACAGAAGATAAACACCTCGTGAGCTGCAATGTCAAGTCTGTTCTACTGACTTTCCACACGTCCGTGAGGCAGGGAAGGTCGACTGCTGAGTTCACGCTACAGTTGACAGACTCTGACACAAAACAATCACACACCACGACTTTACAGAATACCCCAACAGAAGACCGAAGGGTGCAATGGACAACTGTTCATTCTGTGGCCTTTATGAAAGAGGGTTAAAAAAAGGAAAGAGAGACCCTGACAAAAACATGACAGAAGCTGGGAAGCACCTTACAAAGGGAGAGAAAACATTTTAATCTAACTTAGAACATTTTTTAATAAACACAATATTAAATTTTTTACCTTTAAAAACACATTTTTTTTTTGTTTTTTTGTTTTTTGTGAGGAATATTAGCCCTGAGCTAACATCCATGCCAATCCTCCTCTTTTTGCTGAGGAAGACTGGCCCTGGGCTAACATCTGTGCCCATCTTCCTCCACTTTATATGGGACGCCGCCACAGCATGGCCTGACAGCGGTGCCTCAGCGTGCGCCCGGGGATCCGAACCCGGACCGCCAGCAGTGGAGCGCGTGCACTTAACCTCTACGCCATGGGGATTTGTAATTTTTAAGATATTCTTTCTTAGCAAAAAAAGTGAACAAAGAAATAGATTCAGATGAATAAAAATTTCATTAAAAAATGAAAATAAGATAATGCCCTCAACACAGAATATCTTTGCTCTCCTCAGTGATCATCTGATTGGATTTAGCCTCAGCCTGCCTGTGTGGTTACTTAGTTTTATGATTCTATACTCCAATTTTATTTATTGTTTGTATATAACTTTTTTTTTAAAAATATGCTCAAATTCTATGTTCCAGGAAATTGTTTTTCTCAAAATAGATCTTCCCAGTTCCGGTTATTTCTTAGTTTCCAGCTGGCATATTCTATCCATCCATCCATCTACAATCCATCCATCTGTCCAACCACACATCCAGTAAGCATTTACGAAGTGCCTACTTATGTGTCAAGGACTGTTCTAGTCTCAGAAGATAAAACAATGAACAGATAAACAATAAACCTGTTTTCCTGAAACATATTCTGGTTGGGGAGGCAAAATTAATAACACAACTTCAGTTATCAATTAGCGCTATGAAGAAGAAACAAGAATGACTCTCTGTAACGGAGGGAGCATGGCTCCTTCTGACAGGAAGGTTCAAAAAGGCTTGACGTGGGTCCCTTTGCTCTTCTGCTGCCCAGGCTATCTTTAAAAAGTGTCTGTCTGACTATGATCAAATTTTCACATTTTCTGGTTTGCAGGTCTTCTGCTTCCTTTACAATCTCCTGATCAGGCAATTTCCTGAATGATGTTCTATACACATTGATTAATGGTGCTTGAGTTGGAATTATGTTTTAGATGATAATTATAACAAATATCTTATATAGAGCACCATGTCTTACTGAAATTGCAAGCCTCTTGGAGGACCCTCATTCACAAGACTAGCATAGAGCTAACTATGGAGGAATAAAGAACAGAAACCGTTTTGAGAATCTTTAAGGATCTTAGTATCACATTATTACATAATTGAGAACACAAATATAGAAAAAAAGTTTGATATTTAAAAGTTATTTTAAATTTAAATCTTAATTTAAGTAAATTTAATGTAAATTTGAATGCTACTCAATACATGCATTTACCTTGAGAGCTGAGTTATTTCTGTAAAATGTGTCTGTATCAGTAAGCAACTCTGAGAGGGAGGCAAATCTGGTCCGAGAAAAGTAGACTTGAGTTCTGCTCTGGCCCCATTACTGCTCTCCTTTAAAATGACGGTTTGGACTAACAGCAGCCAAAAATTTTCAGCAATTACACTTTCTTCAAATAAAAACTTATACAGCATCCCACTGCATAAAAAGTGGGGTGACAGGTTCTATGTAATTTTATCCCATTTTGCATACTTCAGAGGCTTCTCAGAACCCGGCCTCAGCCTTACCCTCCTCCTGCAATGCTATTGTAGTCACAGCTTGATCATAAAGTACAGAGTTAGCCCTAAAAACTAGAGACCCATCAAGACATGGGGATTCTCAGATTTGCCACAGACATATAATGTCTTACTAACCAGAAACCTTGACTTCCCTGGAAATCCAGTCAATTTGCTCAAACATGAAGCTGCAGGCCACGCCTCCAGCTCCCTCTCTGCTCATCGCAGGAGGCTGCCCATCACCCGCTGATCCATTCTTTAAGGAACCTGGAAGACCCTCTATACGATTTTGGCAGAACTGTTCTCCATTCTCACAGGACTCTAAAGCCAACACTGAATGAGCACATCTCTCTGTCAGGAAAACTGCAGAGCCTCTGAAAGTCTTCCGCTGTTACAAAGGAGGGTGTCTATTTATGAAACTTGAGAAGAGCTACCTCCCCTGAGATGGAATTACTAGAGGAAACAAAAGAAATATTTTAAAAATATATCTAATTCATAGTCCAAAAAATGCTCTAGAAGAATAGAGAAGGGCATTGTGAGAAAGGACAGCCTGAAACAGAAGAGCTACAATGGAAAAGAAAATATGTTTACTGAATTAAACATCGTCAGCGGGCAGAAACAGTAGAAAATCAAACTGGTGGAGAGAAGGTGGAATCTTGAAACCAGGTGAACCCGTAGAGATAAATCTACATAACTGTTACAAATTTGAAGCCAAAGTTGACTATAATTTATTTTCTTTGAAAGAGGTAGTAATTTATGTAATTTTAAATGATTAGAAGTAAAACTCCAAATTACATTTTAAAAGTCTGGGAAAATGACAAACAGAGAGAACCAACTTCCTTATCTTTCACAAAGTAGGGTCAAAATATGGATCTTTTATTGACTCTAATGGTTAAATATAATCGTAACTTTAAGATAACCTTCAATAGAATTAATAATGGCATTAAAATCATAGGAAAACTAAGTGGTTTTTCTAGGTTTTATGTTTTGCTTGAAGCAAATAATGAAGGTTTTTAATTGTGTAAAGCTGTTATATTGACTATCAAATAATTTCATGAACAGATTTTATAAATTTAATATTTTGAATATAATACATATGAGAAAAACAGAAAACAAAGTAACCTAAAGGGTCATAGCGCATGCTTCTGGTGGGCGGGACTATAACTCATATCTCTGTACTTCAGCTGTATTTACTGCCAAAAGACAATCAAAAAATCTCTGCTGGATTGAGATAATTTTATACAGAGAAAATAAAACTGAAGTATAGTACCTTCTCTTGAGCATTTTCAGAGAATACAGAATGTGAAAATACTCTAGACGGAAGCTTGGCAGCAGGGCATAACCAGGACAGGTGCTTTTATATGACAATATGTACACACCGACGTCTCATCTGACAGGTGAAAATTAAGAGTGGCTGCTAACATAGAGGTAACTTACCACATTCAATAAGGACAAAGAAACAAGACTGACAGGTTTCAAATACAGAATTAAATATATAGAAAAATAGTTGAAAGAACAAAGTGGAATCAAGAATAAAGTGCCTTATTTATGAGAAAATTGAGGCAGGGATAGGGAAAATTAAGAATGTGGTTGGTTAAAAGAAAAGAAACATAGTTATCATTAGTATTTGCCTTTTCTCCTCTATACATCCTGTGTCGTGATACAGACGTGTAAAAACAGTCATGTTAAATATTTGCCTTCAATTTAGTAAAGGTCAGATATGGCATCTGCACCTCTTTAGACTGTAATTTCCTTCCCTTCCAATCTATTGTTAAGAATCAGCAGAATCAATGTAAATAATGTAACCCCAACATCACCACAATGTGAGTAATAAAGTTCTGAGTATTTACCCAGCTGAAGAGTCTATACAGGTGACAAAGGAATCCAAGCAAGCTCTCTCCTCCAGTGAAGCCAGTAAATCTCATCGTTGGGAGAAAGTTTGAAACCGGATTCCTACGAATTATTCTAGCAAAGCATCCTGCAAAGCAGCTATGATGTTTTTGATCATTATTTTTCTTATAGGGATTTGGAAAAATGAGTCAGAATTAAAAATGATTTTTTTAAATCTAACTCTCAGTGTGGAGATAAGAGAAAAATAGACTTGGATATTTATTTCATTAAATGGTAGCTGTTTTAGGAGCAGAGGGATACTCTTAAAAGAATATTCTTTTAATTATATATGCCCTAGACCAGACAATTTATTTTTTTTTTAAATGGAGTTGCAAAGAGAGACAGAGTCAGAAGACAGATCAACTACAGAACCATAACTCCATAAAGATGGGTCATTACTGTTTTAGATTGAGGTTAACTACATGAGCATGAGATTGCACGTGACTTGCTTTTTTCAGAGTGAGCCTCCATGTAAATCCTACTTGCTTTCATGTATGTTCCTGAACCATTTGATGAAACGAAGATTTCAAGTAATGATGCTCATCGACCATGGTGGTCATTCCTATGCCAAAATGCTTGTAGACAAACAAATAAAAGTTGTAAAGGAAAGTAAGAAACTCATACTTGCAAAGAAGCTCGCTGGAACCTTGACTATTTTTTATTTTTTTCAGAGAGAAATTTGAAAACTAGTTTTCCTGGGTTTCAGTGGGACGAAGTCCTGTCTTGAAGGAGGAACAGACTGAGTGATTCAGCCCAAATGAGAGTTGATGGGGAGTTAGCTATCAAACCAATAAGTAAACAAAGAAAAAAGAATTTATTATGTGTGACTAGTGGTGTGGAAATCCAAAAAGTAAAATGTAACTCAGACATACGTCTCTATTCATTGCTGAATTTTCTATCAACACCTTTATCCACGTCTAGTAATTATATGGGTACACAGATATAATTTTGATTTGAAGGCAAACTACTGAAAACTGTTGAGGAAATTTCCAAGGTACCCTTAAAAAACAAAATCTATCTTTTTTATTTTTAGTAACTGCTAGTCAAAGATAATGGAGACCCTTAAAATAGAAAACTTGCCTTCAGAAATAAAACTTTATTCACAACAATCATTATTTCATAATAAATTAAGTGTTACAGTAAACTGACCCTTTGTCTTCTTAAGGTTATTAATTAATTAGCACGAAATGTAATACTCGTTACTTCACATTTTCAAATGTTAAAACAATATTAAGGCAAAGCAGGCAAAGGAATACTATTATTTTGGAGGAAAACCCCTCAAATTTAATCTTGAGCCACTGAGTTATTTTTTTTCCTGTGCTGAGCACCTCATGATTTGGATATTAAAATAACAGTTGAGATCCGCAATTGTTAATCTTCAGACTTCTTCATTTTAACCACATGAGTTTTCATTTATCTTAAATTTTAACAAACAAACCACATCCTTTTCTCCACACCTTGATGAGATAGCGCCTATCCAGTAATCCTTCTAGTACTGATAAGGCATTTTTGGAATGTGAGCTGAATATCTTTTTTTTTAAATTATTTATGCCAAAAGTAATTTGAATTATTTCCTTCCAGGAGACACAGTAAGTCTACATAATTAGGTGTAATTTGTGTTGTTAAACGTAGTCAAGACGGCCTTATAAATTCCTCTCTGGCATTCTCATTATACAACCTAGAAATATAAATCAAAGATGGGTTATTATATCTCAGAAATTCAAAAATCAAAATTTTTAGGAAATTATTGCTAAATCAGGACAGTGACATCATAAGACATGAGCATAGCAGTTCTAAATGTGTGTGACTAACAATATGTTCTCTTATATTTCCACCAAAGAATCCTCTCAAGAATCTGACCTAAGATCACTAACCATAAGTTAAACATGAAAACTTTGTTACCACTGGGAGGATTAGAGACTTGACCTTAGTAATTTTCCCCAATGAACAATGAAAGAGACAGAAGCAGGGATAAAGATGGGGAGGAATTATATCAGGAAAATGGCCGAAAGAATGCTAACGACAGGCAGGACAGAAAGGCCTGGAGCCCATGATCCAGTTTAAAGGAAAGGAGACATACAGGCCTTACCCCAGCCTATCAAGGTGAAGCCCCACAGGTATTTGGTGTCTGAAAAGAACGCCACGAAGATCAGACTATGCAGGTAGAGACCTTCCACCAAGATCCAATAGTAGTTTGTAGCCAAGAAGTAAATAAACATCACAACAGCAATCTTGCACCCAACCTGTTACAAATAAACCAGAATCGCATCATATTAGAGCTCCAAATTGTACTGGATGCCAACATTAGACCACTAAAGAGCAGTTCTCCCTTTGTTTTTTGTAATCTAATATGTCTTGTACATAACATACGAAGGCCAAGACTGTTGAAAGAGACCAGAACAAAGTTATTTTAATATAGCATTTTTAAGACTATGGGTTTGGTTGTATTTTTAAAGTAAGATTTTTTTCCTTTAGAAGTTATAAAAAATCACTTTTCCTTAATTTTTTTTGTTTATAAAAACAATACATGATCATCAGAGAAAATCAGAAAAGTAGAGAAAAGCATAAAGAAGAAATATTATCCATCATTTTACCACAAATTTATTTCATTCTGGTCTTTTTTATGCCCCAAAAGTTAATGGCTTAAAACAATAAACATTTAATATGTCTTACGATTTCTATGGATTGGCTAGGTGACTCTGCTGATCTGGGCCAGACTTCACTGATCCTGGCGAGGCTCACTCATAGAGGTCTACCCTAGACTGGCACACTGTCACTTCCACTTCTACTGTCGGATAAAACAAGTCACAAAGCCAGTCCAGAATCAGAATCGGCAGGGACTCCAAAGCCACAGGCCAAAGGGCAAAGATACAGCCGGGACATTAATTCACACCATCAAGACAATCAATCTACAACACCTAATTTCCAGATATATTGCTCCAATGATGATAATGCTTCTAATTAACTGAATTATTGGGTGATCCTATTTACTAAATAACATCCAGACCTTTAACAGCAGAATCAAGTAGCATGGGATCTTATATCGGAACAAGTCTTTGCGTCTACAATAAAGGAACTAAATGTCACAGGCTTTCAAGGCCCAAGCTTCTGATTCTGCAAGTGGGCTTCTTACTTCTGAAAATGGTGAGCCACAACAGCTGCCACGGGCCATAAAACAGATGCATTCCAATCATGTGCTTTTTGAAGTTTCCATCCCAGGATGTTCTCGAGGAAAGAGCCCAAGCACTTTTAATAATCTAAGATGATGAGTGATTGGGCATGAGAGTTGAGGACGGAATTGAGGTAGTGAATGTCAGTATATAAACTGGTCACCTATTCCACTTTGTTCAGATATAAGACAAGACAGCATAAGTTAACGCATTTAGTGGACTGTAAAATTTTACTTATTTGTAATTTTATTCAAAGCTGTAATGAGAGAAAATGGTGAAAACACTCACGTATTGTGATTTGTCCAAAGAAGGCGCTCCTATGGAAGCTCGTGGGTCAGCCTGCGTCATCAGGGACCGCAGCCCCTCTGCACCCAGGTGAGTGTGGGCCACTCTGTCCTTGACAAAGATGCTGGCAGCTCTCAGCATGAAAGACACAAACAAGTGCATGTGGATATAGTTCCTAGTGCAATGCAGTCGTCTATGGAGAGAAAATATTCAGTATTTAGATTTGGATAAAATCAGAAACAGGGAAAGAAAATACATAAATGAGCCCAAACCCCTCCCAAAAAAGATGAAAATATAGTAAACCTGAACAAAGACAGAAACCCATTATGTATTTCCAATAGAAACAACTGGGATCAAAAACTAAAATGTAACTTTTTGCGAATTAATTTCAAATTTATCCTGATCTGCTACCATGTTTATCCAGATTTTGCAGTGTTAAATTATACTACTTTATATTATAGCATTATATTATACTGGATATTAAAGTAAAAATTGGTTAGTGGAGAACCACCTTGAACAGGAATAAACATTATTAAAACTGAAACTTTCACATTTTCAATACATTCTCTATAAGAAAAAGCAAGACATTTTGATAGCATTACACAGTTTTATTTCCTAGGAATGTAAGAACGTAAACAAGCTTACTTTAACATAAAAAGCTTTGGAATTATAAGAAGATCTTAGATGCAAGTTAAGTCAGTAACTTCCCTAGGAGTAGATACAGCACCACCAACTTTCAGTACAGAAAGCTAACTCCAAAAGATTTTTCTTTCAAGTTTGATGAAATAACGCTAGGAAAAGGGTTGTATAATCTGGTCAAAAGGCCCAGCTCTACACAGCTTGACTGCGAGAAAGCACAACCTGCCTGTGCAGTGAACACACTACTGCCCCGTCTCTCCCAGGAGGACAGAGTACTCAGTGTAAGGGAATAAGACATTCTTTAATCCAATAATATATTTTTATATTTCATAACAGAGGAGGGAAAGGTCAAATGAGAATGAGCTAGATTTAGACCTTTTGGAAGTATTGTATTGTCCGTATGTTAGGGACACACATTTGCGTCCATTGTGCCCAGACAGTCCTCCTCACTGACTGTGACTCTTCATTGGGAGCGTCTTCACAAGTGAGCGGTACTTGGCCAGATAGGTTATCAAGTGTACGTGGCAATGACTTACTGCGAACAGTGCCATCACAGTATATAAGCAGGTTTTGATTCTTAAGAGCCTCAACACTATTTACTCTCCTAATAAAGGAGTATTTTGTTTTGTGAAACAGAAGAGTTTCTGAATTTTTTGTATAACATTTTGCTGTATAGTATAGCAATTGTTTAGAAAGAATCCACTATCAAATACTGTGATGAACTATTATGTAATCTGCATCCTCCTGAAATTTTATGTACCTTTTGTTCTCATAAATATTTGTCTATTACTCTGAATAACCACAGCTAAGCTGGTGCAATGGGATGAGCTCTGGACAGGGGTCAGAAGGTGACGGCTCTGTGTCCAGCGGGACCACCCACGACCTTGTGACTTTGGGTGCTGAGCTTCAGTTTCTTGTCTCTAAAATGGGGGAACACCTGCCAAGCCAACTCCACAAGGCTATCTTGCTGAAACCCTCTATAACCCCAAAAATATGATCATGTGACTCTCTACTTAAAGACTTCATTGGCTCCCTGTTACCTGCCCTTACAGGACAAAATTCGAAGCTCTCGACAAGGTCCTGCAAAACCTAGTTTCTCCCTGGCTGGCCCTACACGGGCACTCCTCCCTGTGCACTAAACGCTGCATTCACATGGGCTCTTCTATGTTCTCTGAGCACACCCTGCTCCTTCGTGCCTCTGGCCTCTGCACATTCTGTTTCTATTATTAGGAATGTCTGAATCTCTCATCATTCAGTGTCAGCTCACACGCCAGTTATTCTGGGAAGTCTCTCTCCCTCGTCTTGTCAGGTTGGGGCTAGCCCCTTGGTGTTCCCAAAGCCCTTTATAAAAACCTGTATTACAGTACTACTGACAATTTTTATTTGATAATCATTTAATAGGTCAGTCTCTCTCGAAGGTGCACATACTACTTTTCTGGTCTGTGACATATCTTAACTTGCCCTCCATCAATACCAAAAAAGGTCTATCATGTGACAGAGAAAAATGCTTGCTGAATAAATGGGCTAGTGAATCGATAAAGAAAAAGCTTTGGTAATATAAACTAGACCACTACGATATGGGTAATTGTGTTAGAAGAAGTTGGAATATTAGAACCAGTCATTTATTTATTAATTCAACAAATATTTATTGAGCACCAGTACATATGAAGTACATTGTAGCTACTGAGAAGGCAGCAACGAGCAAATAGAAAAAATAAATGCCTGCGCTGGTGTACTTTACATTCTAGATGTAAATAAAAATAAAATGATAAACGTGTAAAACGCCAGACAGTACATTCGATAGTGATAAATCGAAGGAGAAAAACCAGGAAACAGGTATGAGAAGTTTTGAGGAAGAGGGGATTCTAAGATAATAGGAAACAAAATACAAAACTTCTTTCTACTTGCGGTTTCTGTTAGCTTCTAAATCCTCTATTTTAGTTTTCTGAATATGTTATCTACCTTCACCCCTTCTTTTCCACATATAATTTAGCACTAAATTCTTAAAATTACTACTATCTTAATTAATCTATCTCAAAATCTTCCATTTCTATCCAAGACAGGCTTCCTGTCTTGCTTCCCACCAGCTGTCACTCCACCTTACAACACAGGTGACACTCATGTCCCTCCGCTTAAAATCCTTCATGGCTCCTCACTGCTCTGAGGGTAAAGTCCAGACTCCTTATAACCCACAGGCCTCAAGACATTCTCCACCCTGCTTACCTCTCCAGTCTCATCGACACCAAAATCCTGAATTCTCAAATATTCCACGCTTTTTCTTGATCTAAACTTAGCTTTCGAACTCACCCCCAGCCTCCTCTTTTGGTTAAATCTTATTTATACTCAGGTATCATTTGAGATTTCACTCCACTCAGGAGGTCTTCCCTCGTTTCCCTCCTCTGCCCACCAGAATCACGACACATCGCCTAAATCACAGCACTTCTCAGACCGTGAACTGGCTTCCCAGCTCTTTGCATCACAAACCAGCTGCAAGCATCAGAGTATAAATAAACGTTGTTCACTGTTTTGTCTCCATATTGGTATCTAAAATTTTATGTTGACTTAGATTAAGTGGAATTGAATTGGATAAAAGTTTAAGTGGATAAAAAATAAACCACAACAAAAGCAATAAATAGTATTTCTTTACATATGATATCAGATAATTTGGGAGATTATTTAAAATGAATTTCTGTCCAATGGCCATAAAATCATTGAGAAAAATGAAATAAGTCTTCACATCATGAATGAAAATCTTTGCAACTCATTCAGCTCTACTCTGCATCACTTCGCAAACAAAATACACTGCAGTGCAGACCTACTGGCTTAATGGTGTCCTAGCGCTTCAATGCTTTAAGTTTTTAAACAAACGAAAAAAACCTCTGAATTTCTCATGAAAAATAAATTGTCAAAGTCAAATAATATGATAACACCAGACCAAACTCAAAAACTTGCATTTGGGAAAACTACTTGGGGTCACAGATTGTGAGACCTCTGTGTCTTCTATGGATCGGAAACAGCCCTGTCCCTTCATGGAGAAAGTGAGTGGACAGGCTTACCTGAAGTAGCCGATGATGAGCACAGCCACAGCCAGGGAGCCGAAGGAGACGGAGTATCCAACGGTGTACATGACACGGAGGCGCTCGAAGAACTCTCTCTGAAGGGAGAGAGCACATCAGAAATGCAGTTGGAACAGATCATCTGATGTAGATAAACTTAAAACCAAGCTTTTACCTGTCTAGAGACAGGTGATGTGTTATCACATTCATACAATACAGATTATTTTCTGGCCTTCCTTTATTTCCTAAATTCAGGTCAAGGTTAAAGATGCAATAACAATATTTGGCATCTTTTGTTGTGTGAGGCCAAACTAAAGGCTGCAATATTTACTCCGTATATTTGTGCACTGCTCATTTTAACCAATTGGAATTGTATATCTAACATGATATTTGGAGTAAGTAAAACATAGGTTACAGGACTATTTTAAGAGGAAACTGGTAAAAAAATGTCATTTTTGGAATTGTTCCAATTTTCTTTAACTTTCTTATTGAGCTGTAGTTCGCATGAAATAAAACGCACAGACTTAAAATGAGCAGTTTGACATGTTTTGACAAACTGAGCTTGCTGGTCAAAAACCACCCACACCCAGGTGACTGCTCCTGCAGTGTGTCACCAGACAGCTCTACCTGCTCATGCACTGCACATGCTTCTCGACTGTTCTCGGACTTCTTAGAATCACACAGTATGCACTCTTGGTCAAAATACTGGTTTTGATATTCACTGATACTGTTGCATAAATCAATGGTTCATTCCTCTTCAACTTTTTTATTTTAAAATAACTATAGATTGGAAGTGACTCAGCATCATGGCAGAGTGAGCTTCCCACACTGAACTCTCCCCCTCTAAGACACAACAAAAAGGACATTCATACTCCAACAGAAGCTATTCACACAACACAGGGGACGTCTGAGGCACCCAGGCAGCCATACACTCAAGGACTGAGGTGCTGGAATCCCCAGAGGAAGTGTAAGGAGGTAAGAGGAGCTCCCTTCCTTCCCCAAGGACTGCGACCCAGAGACTGAGACCATGGGGCTCTCGGAGGAGGGGGAGGGGCGGCTCGCTGCATGAAAAACGGCGCTCTCAAAGGCCCCTCACAGCCAGCCCGAGGGGATCCCCCTACAGAGGGAGCGGAACTGTTGTGAGGCTAGTTTCAACAAGTTAGCCCGTCAGGAGAGCAGAGAGCGACAGTGAGGCAAGAAACCTCTGAGATCAGGGAGGTGAAAGTAAGCGTCCCTCCCCCACCCCGGCCCACCAGACTGGTGCTTCAGCACAGCCGCTGCTTCAGCTCAGCCCCGTCCCCAGAGGCAGCGGCCCCCAGGTGCCCCACCAGACCAGCAGTGGGGTGAGCCTGCACCCCCGCACCAGAGGCAGGGGCAGCTTAGTCCCCACCACGCCACAGCCCCAGCTGCTCCAGCTGGACCAAGCCACAGCCCCAGATTCCCCAGCTCCACCGTGCCACGGCCCCAGCTCTTTCAGCTTTACCACCCCCCTCCCCCCAGCTCCAGCTGCTTCAGCCTGGCCTGTGCTCAGGCTCCAGCTGACTTGGTGCCAGCGACTTTGGCCCACCGCACTCCAGCTTCCCCTTCTTTGTTCCAGCGCACTCCAGTTCCAGCTTCTTTGGCCGGGTGCACTCCAGTTCCAGCTTCTTCAGCCCAGCACACTCTAGTTCCTGCTTCTTTGGCCCAGCAGCACTTTAGCTGCAGCTGCTTCAACCCACCTGCACCCAAGCACCAGCTGCTTCGGCCTAGCTGCGCTCCAGCCCCAGCTGTTTCCATGCTTCCCCCTGAGCAGCCTCCACTCAGCCACACCACAGATCAACCAGGGGCTGACAAGAGTGACCACAGATTGAGGCAGGCCAGAATACACAGCCCTTGACCCCCACCCAGCGGCAGAAAGAGGAAACTGCGACCATATATTTTCACTATGAGGAAAGGTAAGCCAACACCGACAGGCACCATGCAAAAATATCTTAAATCTCCAGACCAAAAGGAAAATGACAAGCACCCAGAAGTCAACTCAGAAAGCACAGAAATGTATAACCTTAACAACAGAGAATTCAAAATAGCCATCATAAAAAAGCTTAATGAAATACAAGAAAACACAGACAGACAATTCAGTGAAATCAGGAGTTTCTTCACAAAAGACATTGAAACTATAAAAAAAAAACAATCAGAAATCTTAGAGATGAAAAACACAATAGAGGAGATGAAGACAAATCTGGAAGCCTTAAGCACCAGAGCTGACAGTATGGAGGAAAGAATTAGCAATATTGAGGACAGCAATGCAGAAGTGCTCCAGATGGAGGAGAAAAGAGAACTAAGACTAAAAAGAAATGAAGAAACTCTCCGAGAAATATCCGACTCAATTAGGAAATCCAACATAAGGATTATAGATATTCCAGAGGGAGAAGAGAGGGAAAAAGGAGCAGAGAACTTGTCCAAAGAAATAATATCTGAGAACTTCCCAAACCTGGGGAAGGAGCTGGAAATACCAGTGAATGAAATAAATAGATTTCCTAAATATATCAACACAAAAAGACCCTCTCCAAGGCATATAGTAGTAAAGCTGGCAAAAGTCAATGCCAAAGAAAAAATATTAAGGGCAGCTAGACAAAAAAAAATCACATACAAAGGATTTCCTATCAGGCTTTCAGCCGATTTCTCGACAGAAACTTTACAGGCTAGGAGAGAGTGGAACAATATATTCAAAATTCTGAAGGACAAAAACTTTCAGCCAAGAATACTCTATCCAGCAAAAATATCCTTCAGATATGACAGAGAAATAATAACCATCCCAGATAAACAAAACCTATGGGAGTTCATTGCCACAAGACCCCCACTACAAGAAGTGCTCAAGAAGGCCCTCATCCCTGAGGAAAAAAAGAGAAAGGGGATTCAAAGTTTTGAACGAGGAGGAAAATAGGTAGACAAAACCAGAAAGATTGCAGTCCTCTATCAAAATAGATTAGCAAATACTTAATTATTAAACCAAAGATCAAGGGAAGGTAAATACAAAACATAAATATAACCTCATCATGTTAAACACAAGCTCACAACACAAGAAGGAATAAGATGTGACAACAATAACATAGAAAGGGAAGAGGAAAGGGATCGAATCCACTGAGTCTAAGGGAATGAGAGGCCATCAAAAAATGGACTATCACTTCCACGAGATTTTTTATACAAACCTCATGGTAACCACTAACCAAATAATCAGAACA